ATTGTTTCAAATAAATATTTCAAATTGTTGTTATTTGTCCTTTTGCATGTCTTCTTGTTCTATGTCTATTGGGTTACGATATAATTGCACCTGTCGCAGCACTTCACTTTCCATAGAAGCCGCTAGTATATAACTTAACGTTAGTCTCAGCTCCTTAGCAGCTGCTTTTGGCTTACCCTACTGCCGTGCGTCAAATAGCGCAGGTGCGCTCTTAGTTCCATTTGTGGTTTGGAAGATCRTTTTTGTGATCAAAACAACAAACGGAAAAAGCGCGTGCCTGTAGTTGATGACGCACAGGAGTAGAGTAAGGCGAAATTTAAACTGCTTCCTATTACTAAAAATAGCCCAACCGGGAATTTACATAACGCGCGCGATATTAACAAGTTTCAAGAATCTTACAACTCTTTTGCTGGTATACATTAACCTTCAGCACGAGATTCTACCCGGCTCCTGAGAGCTGAAGTACTCTTCTTAAGATTTCTGCCGTGCCTAAAAGTACAGATTCCTGTAGGTCTAACAACCTTATACTATCAAGTTCTAGTCTCTGAAAATGATCCTTAAATTGTTTCGATATTGTTCCGAGCGATCCAGTGACTATCGGAACTACATGGTCTTCATCCTCCACAATCTTTCTATTTCTATTCTTAGGTCTTGGTACTTGTCAATCTTTTCATTTCCTTTTGATCAATTCTATGGTCCRTAGGCACTAAGATGTCAATCAGTTTCGCCTTCTTCTTGCTCTTATCTACGACTATGATGTCCGGTCTTCTTGCTTCAATCTTCTTATCCGTGTAAACATTAAAATCCGTTCGTGATCCCACCAATTATCTGCAGTGCACTGTATTTGGTGTTTCCTACATAGGTGTCAATGTATTGTTCTTGCCACTTTGTCATGTCTGTCTTTATACTCTCTCCCTGCCAGCACTTTGCGTCCAGCTACAAGGTGGTCCACAGTTTCCGTCTTTTCATTACATAACCGGCACAGCGATGAATCACTACTGTTGCACTTGCTTCTCAAGTAGTAGGTAGGTAGTGCTTGGTCCTGTGCAGCAGTGAGTAGTCCTTCCGTCTCTATTTTAATGTCTCCTTTCTTTAGCCGAAGCCAAGTGCTCTCCTTATCCATCTTGTCCTCGCACGTCTTGATGTAGTTTCCGTGTAAAGGCTTGCCTGTGTATCTCTCAAGTCTTTCGTTCTGCCTGCGCTGTTGGTATTCTTTCTTTGTCTCTTCTGATTCCTTCATGGTATCCTTTACAATGTTTCATAGAATATCATGTTTGCTAACATATTCTTTCAGGGAAAGTTCTTCCTCTCTTACAGTGTCCTCTACGGTCTTAAATCCTCTTCTATCCATAGATCTTGGAAGATAGATGGGATCTATATCCGCACGTGGATGTAGCCCTCGATGCATGGTTACTATTTTGCGCGTCTTTCTGTCTAGAGAGTGGAGTTCTTCGTTTGTTAATTAATCTCCTTTTGTATTCTAGTTGGACGCTATTCTTTACTTTCTGATGGTTGATATCTTCCTTCTCTAACACTCCTAGATACCTATAGTGATCATTACCGTCCAAGTTCATTATCTGCTGACCATAGGGTAGCTTTATCCCATCCCTCTTTACCACCTTTCCTCTTTTTACTCCNTTCTGATGGTTGATATCTTCCTTCTCTAACACTCCTAGATACCTATAGTGATCATTACCGTCCAAGTTCATTATCTGCTGACCATAGGGTAGCTTTATCCCATCCCTCTTTACCACCTTTCCTCTTTTTACTCCTACTCTGGCGCACTTCACTACCTCGAATGTCATCCCAATGTTTGTACTAAATATTCGTACAGAGTGTAGTGGTGACTCGATTTCTTTCTTGTTCTTCCCATAGAGCTTCATATCATCCATGTATAACAACTGATTGATAAAGCGTGGAATATTCCAGGGGAGACTCGATGTCACTGTTACTATTCATCATATGTCTCATACCATTGACGTCCATACTGAACAACACAAGGAAAGGCTACAAGTTGAACAATGGTAAAATAATGTACTGATCAGTACATTATTTTACCATTGTTCAACTTGTAGCCTTTCCTTGTGTTGTTCAGTATGGACGTCAATGGTATGAGACATATGATGAATAGTAACAGTGACATCGAGTCTCCCCTGGAATATTCCACGCTTTATCTCAGAATGACCACAAGATTCTCCGTCTAACCTTAGCTCAGTCCTCCACTGCGACATTGCTCTCTTCATGAATCCTACGATCGATGGTTGAGCCTTGATGTTTTCAAGGGAAGCGATTATCCAGCTATGAGGTACAAAGTCATATGCCTTTTTGTAGTCTACCCACACCATTTCCAAGTTCTTGTGCCTTCTCTTTGCACTTCGCAGAACTGCCTTGTCGATGAGGAGTTGGTCTTTTGTTCCTATCGATCCACGACTACAGCCTTCAAATGGTATCAATTCTTGTTCCTCTAGATGGTTATAGAGGCTGATATGATGGACGTCATCAGCTTCCATAATGTTGGTAGACAAGTAATAGGTCTATTCTTGGTTTTCACCTACGTCATCATGAATTTCAAAAGCGTAAATTCGCATTATAATGAAATAAAAAATTTATATTCTTGCAAAGCGGTCCAAACTACATATACTGGCCAAATKTTAAGGCTGTAAAGCATTTCGTTGCGGAACTATAGRMAAGTAAACATGACGCAATTTTTGGTTAAAATGTATGGAGCGGCCATCTTGGTGTTCCAAGTTGGTACACCATCATGGCGGACGAAATTCCAAAGGCTTAAAATGATGGAATATTTCATATGTTTGGCTATATTTCAATTAAATATACTTTATATAGATCTTTACAACGTGTCTAAGGGAAAATCTTTCAACTAGAGTAAATTATTTTAATATTTTCATCGCTATTTAGATAGACGTGACGGTATTGCGTGACACAAACTCAACCTTCATAACTCGGGAACCAMACATCGAAATGACTCGAGATTTTTTCTTGTGACTTATAACACTGATTTCTAAAACATATTTGAGAAATTCCTTTATACGATCTATAGTTTAGATTTTGATGTTTTGATGACGTCATGTGAAAACCAGCAATAGTTACTTGGAGTAGGTCCCTTCTTCTTATCTTTCATGATCAGTCAATAACAAGCCGCAGGGCCGTTTTTATTGGTGAATATTTGTGCCAGCATGTTCCCAGTATCACTATGGTTACTACCACAAATCCGAGTATCGTGTCAATTGGATTAACACTGCGATACAAAGCAGCGTAATATGATCAAATAGCAGTGCTGTTATTCTCTTTACCTTTTCGCATTTTGTTCTAACTATAGAATGTTTTATATCTACGATAAGAGATTAGAAATTTTAAATGTAGCCTCTCAGAGAATTACGGGCGATCCACCTGAGCAATTTATGTTGTTTTCGGGCGAGCCGCCTGAGAAAGCAAGGAGAGAGGGTTCCATTTTCTAGCTATATATTAAAAATTTATTAAAGAAATACAGCATTAATTTGCGCGGGAACATATGCACCAACAATGCAGCATTCATTGTCAAATTTAAAGAACATCTTTAGCTCTATATTCAAAATTGGCATGCACGAGTGTGAAGGATCTTCTATAGCTATAATTTTGAAGTATTCGACAGAAAGAGCATCTCTAAATAGGACGTAACATCGTATCTTTTTGCCAGAATTCAGTTTTCGCGCCAATTTATATTATTAGACGTTTGGCCTAAAATACGATCATATATCATCAACTATACTCTAAATTCCGGGATCAATACCATCAAACACAAGTAAAGGTTCTTCTTGAAACATTGGTGTACCATGTTCTACCTGAATTTTTCTGCTAGACGGAAAATGTGAGCTTTGAGTCGAGAATCATGTTGTACATTACCAAACGCTGAGCTCTCGACGGCATATTTCGAACAACAGATCAATTTCATGATCAGAATAGCATCGTGTAGATTCGATTAGCACTCCAGTATGTTTAGTAACGATCTACAGCGATCGAATTCATTAAAATCGGCTGTTAACCATGGAGTTACCGGCAGAGTATAGCAGAGCAACATAATCATTCTTATGTGTAACACAATCTTTAAGTAAATACTGCTTCGGTCAAAGGTGGATACCCTGTGTGGCACAAACACCTCGCCCATCTTTACACACCACAAGTACAGTATGCGGATTTCAATTCCGCTTATCGCCAAAAAAAACGGGCTTGCGGCTTGTTATTGAGTGTTCTTTCTTCTGTCATCCATGCTGGGATCCTGTTCTCTGTTTCAAACACTTGCTGTAGCTGCACCGCTATTCGTTCATGTAGACAGTGTAGATGTTTTAACCAATATCCATGTATTTCATCTTTTCCAGGGGCTTTCCAATTTTTGATCTTTTTGGCCGCCTTCTGTACCTTTTCTTTCGTAAACACCAGTTCTGTTTGTTCTTCAATGCCTCCTGGTCTTTCTTTACGTCGTTTAACCATTGTGCACTAGGATTGTGCTTTTTTTCTTGGGCCCATAAGTCATTCTAGAATGTTCGTACATCTTCTTAAGTTGGCTTCACAGCGTTTCCTTTACTATTTACCTTCGCAGTATTAAAATCTTTGTATAGATCTTTTTGGCTGGCTACAAACAATTTATTCTGTTGATGGTGTTTAATTCTGCTTTCATAACGCGGTATTTTCTTGCTTGTGGCTATAATTTGTTCCTTACATTCTTCCATGACTTGTTTCAGTGGTCGCTGGTCGAGATGATACTTTCTGGTCAACGCATTGATACCTTCCTGGTGCTTTAGCCGTCCTGCATCTAGTTCTTTCATCCTACTTAAATCCTTTCTTAGGCTTGTAATTTTGCCTTATAGTCTCCTCTTCCATGGTGGTTCTCGCTTATAGTTATTATTGCTATTGTTGTTTACCTCTATCTTGACTCCCATTTCTTCAGCTACGACTGTAGCAGTAGCATAAAGCATATTATTATTATTATTAATAATAATATTATTATTATTACAACTTCACCGTACGCTACATAAATAACACTCTACCAACCAGGAAAAACCTTGTGAAATGGGTTATCTCGCAATCACCAAATTGTTCATTTTGTTCATCCGAATCTCTTTTACATATAGTAAGTGGATGTCAACACTATCTCGATCGCTTCACCTGGCGCCATAATTCTGTCCTCAACTTTATCGCCTTATCACTCAAAACCATTGACAATTCTACTCCTTATGCTGACCTTGATAATTATCACAGTCCTTCAATTATAACTGGCGATAGTTATCGCCCTGACTTGATTTTAAGAACATCTAGTACACCCTATATATTGGAACTTACTGTTGGCTTTGAATCAAACCTTAAGAATAATGCTGATCGTAAGAAAGAAAAATATAAAAAACTTATTAGTGATTTAAATAGTGATTATAGCCATGTAAAGTTTGTTAATCTTTCAATAAAATCCCTCGGAGTATTTTCTAGTGGTTGTGCAACATTTATTGAAATGTTAAAAATGTAGGTTTCGACAAAAACCAACGTAAATATTTAATAAGGAAAATTATGAACAAACAAAATCTAGGATAACCCTGACTTGATGAAGTTTTAACTCTGGCGCTACAACTAAATGTGAAAAAAAAAATCTATAATTAATGTTTTTAGTATCTTTTATGCAATTATACACTTA